AGCCAAAGTGTGGTAAATTAGCTCAGTGTAAAACATGGGAAAATGCTTAATTGAAACATTTTTAAAGTAAGCATTTTTAAATTTCTAAGGTAGAAATAAGCGGAAGCAACTTAGAGATTGCTATATAGCTAAAGGCCCAGAGAAAATTCCTGCTTCTATCTTCAGCTTGTGGTCCATGATTTGGGACTACCTAGAGCCCCTTCCCGAAAGGGATGGATGAATGTGGCAGGAGATGTAAGACAAATAGTAGAAAGTGACCAGAGGCTGCCGACTCTACTTACTGTTACTCATAAGCCTCTCCAGTCGCCTCTAAACCAGCAAGAACAAGAGTGGGATCTCTGTCTCCACTCCAGCGTCTCTGCATGAGGCTAGGAGGCTGGGGAAGACACTTCAGGATTTAGCAGCCAATCGTACTCTGAAAATGCAATGACTAAAACAAACGGGGATAAGAGGTGTTTGTATCTTTCCAGAAGGAGCAGTAGCCAATTTGGGTGCCAGAACGGTACGTGTGACACCACAATGGACACAGAGAAGCTCCTTGTCCCTCCGTTCAAGGGACTGAGAGTTGCCCCGATGACAGCAAAGAGGAAGAGAAAGAAAACAAAGGCCACACTAGGGGCCGAGGTGCCAACATGGGGTCAGCGGAAGAAGCTAACAACTGAGGCCCAGCAAATGGCAGAAAAGCAAGGAGTGGAAGCTACTCCTTCAGCCATGTTTATGGCTGTTAGCATAGAGAAATAAATAGAGAAGCAAGCGGCAGAAAATAAGTAGAAATAAGCTGTAGAAATAGAGAAATAAGCGGGGGTTGCAACCCAGAAAAGGATTGGGCAAGGGCAGCCAGGCCTACCTATGATTCATAGTTAGAGATAGAGAAATAAATAAATAAGCGGTAAAATAAGCGGCAGAAACGTAGAAATAAGCGGTAGAAAATAAGCGGTAGAAATGTAGAAATAAGCAGTAAGAAGTAAGTGTTTAGGAAATAAGCGGTATAAAATAGGCAGTAGCAAATAGGTGGTAGGAAATAAGAAGTAATTAGGAGGTACAAAATAAGGTAGAAATCTCCTAGGTTTTGTTGAAGCCCCTGTAAAGCAGAAGATGGCTGTGGTTGATGTTGTTTAAGGAAGTAATTTTTGTTTTAGACCCTAGGTAGTTGCATTGTTTCTGGGCTTTGGTTATCTTTGTTTGTGCGACCTGATAGCTCCCTGGACTTGGGGTCTGTGTGAGACGCCAGACTCAGAGTTGAAGGTCTCCAGCTCTGCAGGACCGAGGGCTGCTCGTTTCCATGCAGCAGCGGCTAAGGAAAGAGGCTGAGAAGGGACCAGACTTCCACCTGCATGGATGGGGCTGGTTTGACTGGGACTGGTGCGGACTCAGTGCCGAGGTCAACCGTCCAAACAGCCTGACCCAGGGGACTGGTGTTGCATCAACGACATCTTTGCATCGGCAGCATTTTAATACACAAGTGATCGAGGTATCAGCATGGAGTCAGCTGTTGAAGAAGATGGCGACTGAGGCCAAGCAGATGTTGGAAAAGCAAGTGGAAGCTATGCTAGCGTTGGTGAACTGTCAGTTTTCTGTAGAATCTCGCGGAGGTAAATCTAAGGACTCTGGGTGGAATGTCCTGAAAACGTTGACATGTTTGTAGTTTGGTTTTGCATTGGTATTGCTTTGTTATTAGCCAGAGTTTTGTTCTCTCTTGTTAACATTGCTGTGTTTATGCTTTTGTTAAATAGCCAGAAGTCTGTTTTGATTATGCTGAATAATTTGTTTAGAGTGTTTTGGATAATGTAAATAGGCGTGTTTAAAAACAAAAGTAAAGGGGGATATATGGGGAGCGGGTATGTGTTTGGACAGGCTCAAGCCTCGGACTGAGGAGAGGGCACAGTCCTCTCGTGGCCACGTGCCAAGTCCCAACTGGAGGGCAGGGCCCTCCCAGCACAATCATAGCCAACGGCTGTAGTTGTGAGCTTGAACCTGTGGTCCTAACACGTGGCCCCACGTGCTTGAGTGATGTGGGCTTGATAGAGTTCAGGTGCGTGTAGTTAAGTGAGGATGAAACTCATGAGAATGCTGTAAACATCTTGATCACGCCCCTACTTTGCCTCGTGGCATCGGCTATAAAATGAAGACAGGGCTTGTGGGCGCTGGCGCTGTCTCCTCATCAGGGAGCAGCGTCCCACCGAGACCCAGCTTTCATTCTCTTGTCTGTCTTTTCTCAATCCTTTCACCCCCTCACTCAGGATCACCCTTGGCCGTGCTGGCGTGGACCAGGCACCTACCTCAGTTTCAGGTTCAATCCCGGGCCCCAACTGGGTGGGGTGTGTGCGGGAGACAACCAATCCATGTGTCTCACATCGATGTTTCTCTCTTTCTGTCTCCTTCCCTTCCACTCTCTCTAAGATCAACTGAAAGATATCCTCAGGTAAGGATTAACAAGAAGTTAAGAACACATGGAAATAATGGCTCTCCTTTACATCTCAGGCTGTGAGACCTACCCCCACACCCTCCACTCTGCACCCCATTCACCCGAGCCCCACAATGCCCTCAGGGCGAGGTTGTGTTCACAGAGCCAGCCGGAGCCAGAACTCATATGGGGTCCCCGGAGGTCAGCACCCCCACCCTCCCCCCCACCCCGCTCCCCCAGAGGCTCAGCGAGCCAGCCCCTCCCTTACACAGCTCCATCGGGAGAAACTCACCCAGACCCAAGGCGGGTGACCCCAAGCACAGGCCACACACACACACACAACCTCTTAATGGAGCACATGAGAGAACTTCATATCGTTTCGAAAACTGAGATGTTATGGCCCAGCCGGTGTGGCTCAGTGGTTGAGCGTCAATCCATGAACCAGGAGGTCAGGGTTCATTTCCCGGTCAGGGCACAGGCCCGGTTGTGGGTTCCATTCCCCAGTGTGGGGCGTGCAGGAGGCAGCGGATCAGTGATTCTCTCTCATCGTTGATGTTTCTCTCTCTCTCCCTCTCCCTTCCTCTCTGAAATCAGTGGGGATATATATTTAAAATAAATAGAGAAGAGCAGCCCTTGGGAAGTTTGGAGCTGGGCTTTCCGGTCCCCCCGCTGGGACCCTGGGCAGTGACTCCGAGGTTGGAGGGGGACCTCCCAGTGGCTTCAGTGAGGATTGAGGGAGGTAACACTTGCAATGCGTGTCCCGCTGTGCGCTGTGCCCCCTGAGCAGTGGTTTATTTTTCTCATTCCTGTGGTTAATTTTCCTCATTCCTGTTCTTTCTAGGAGGGGGGGGAGGGCCTTCTGGGAAGCCTGGGGCTGGGCGAGGCTGAGAGGTGGCCCCTCTGTGGGGTGGGGGTGGGGGGATGGCTTTTGGGGGAGAGCACTTGGACAGTAGGACCCCCCTCGCCCACACCCGCCTCACCCACCTGTTAGAATGATCTCAACGATGTTGCAGGGATGAGACAAACACTCGGAACTGGGCCAGCAAAGCAGATGGACGCCTGCGGGAAGGGTGCTCCTCCAGCGGGAATCCTGGGCCGCAGCACCCCTGACGGGAAGTCCCCTCCGGTTTTATATCCTGACCCGGGTCTGCCCGCCCCTCACTCTGAACTCTGACTTCATTGGTCAGGGCTCAGAGCTCGGGCTCCCATTATTGCATTCAGAGGAAGGGGAGGGTGAGGCGGAGCCTAAGGTGGTGGTGGTGGGGGGTAGGGAGTGGAGGGGGCCCCTGAGAGTCTGAAGGTCACATCATATATGGCAGAGCCTAAGAGGGCAGCGAGCTCCTTTCTTTGACAGAAAGATCGCTGGTTCACTCTCCCCCCCCCCAAACCTCCAGTGCAGGGGAGACACCCCAACTCCTCCTCCTGGCTGTGGCCTGTGACAGGCCCCGTGGCCCCTCTGACCTGACCTCACCCTCCTCCCTCCACGGCCTCCGAGGGTCCCTGAGCTGTTCCCTGGGCCCAGAACGTGCTCCCCTCCGGCCTGTGCAGGGCTGGCTCCCCCACAGGGTGCAGGGGGTGCCAGGTGACTGTCCCCGATCCTGCCTGGCACCACCCAGCCCTACCGGGCAACTCAGCCTTCCTCCTGGCGGCCAGCTCTCACCATCAGAAATGACCTGCTCGGTTCTCTTTCTAGGAAAAGTCTCCCACCAGGAAGTCTGCCTCAGGGCTGGTCCTGCTCCCTGCTGGGAGGTGCCCACACCCCTCTCCCAGGTGCCCACACCGCAATCCCAAGGCTCAGCGCTGTCCTCCCTCCGAGGGAGGAGAAGGGAGGGAGGGAGGGAGGTTCATTTTCTGGTGAGAACAGGATAAAAGGAGGCCACCCCATTGGGGGTGGGATGGAGGTGGCCGAGGCAGGAGGAGGCGGGGCTGCTGTTTTTACCAAGAAAAACCCCCAGGTCCTGTCACACAGGGTGTGAAGCTATGGTTATGGGGAGGTGGGCGGATGCCAGGGGGGCCGCGGGGACCTGGCCAGGCCCTGTGCTCACTTCCTCCAGGCCACGCCCACGGGCCCTCTGGTCAGGGGGGACCTGCAACCCAGCCCTGGAGCTCACCCACCTACAGGGCCGCTCTGGCTCTTCTCGGCCCAGGGCCCGTCCCCCTCAGCTGGGGGGTCACAGGTCTCAGTCCTTGGCTGCAGCCTGGGTTCCCACCCATCTGCCTGGCGCCTGACCCAGGAGTGTGCCTGGCACGGGTGACCCAGGCCCCTGCCGGTGCCCATGCCAGGCCTGCGGGGCCCCGACCAGGAGAGCTCAGCGCTCTGCACCCACACATGGTCCTGTGAGCTCGCCTCTGAGGACTTACATTCAGACAGAGACGGGGCCGGGCACGTTCCCACCTCCCCCCTCCGCTGGCGGGATGTCGTCACGTTTGCTGCTGCGCTTTTTAAATAAAGGAAATAAAATAGTGCAGACAAGGGCCTGCTTGCTCCCCTCTTTCTGTTCCATTAGCCCTCCCCCAGGCCACTTTCCCCTAACATTTTCCCCCAAATATGTTTTTATTGATTTCAGAGAGGAAGGGAGAGGGGGAGAGAGAGAGAGGGACATCAATGATGAGAGAGAGCCTTGGATCGGCTGCCTCCTGCAGGCCCCACACTGAAGATCAAGCCCACATCCCAGGCCTGTGCCCTTGCGGGAAGCCACTGCTTGCCCAATACTGTCATAAGAGAGAACCAAGGAACGCGGAAGGCCCATGGACCTTGGGCGTTAGCAGGGCTGTGTTGAGATAGTGGTGGCTCAAAGCAATTTCCTACCTGATAGCCTCCAAGTAAATGTTTACTGAACCTTACTGATCTTTACTGACCTTAGAGATGGTCTGTCTGCTAACTGTTTGCCGAGCTTTACTGAGGGCGAGATGTGTATCTAAAACTGAATAAAAAGCAGAGAAGGTCAGTTTTCGGTGTGCCTCTCCAAGAGAGAGGTCTCCACCTGGCCTCCATGCCTTCTAAATTCATATTTCTTTTTTTAAAAATTATATTTTATTGATTTTGTTTTTACAGAGAGGAAGGAAGAGGGATAGAGAGTCAGAAACATCGATGAAAGAGAAACATCGATCAGCTGCCTCCTGCACGCGCCCTACTGGGTATATGCCTGCAACCAAGGTACATGCCCTTGACCAGAATCAAACCTGGGACCCTTCAGTCCGCAGGCCGACGCTCTACCCACTGAGCCAAACCAGCCAGGGCTAAATTCATATTTCTTGTCTAGCATTTTCATTTGTGCATCGGCCCCTCCTTCAGATCCTGAACCCCTGTCGCAAAAGGTTGCGGCATTCTGGTGCCCAAACAAGAACCTGGAGGAGAAGATTTGCCTGAGAGAAAAACGAAGAGAACAAGGAAATGTGGAAATTCCCCGGAAAGGTGGGAAGTTCACCGCGCACGAAGCCCATGCCAGCTGCGGAGTCATGACTGTCAGTGGACGAGGAACATTTTGATTCAGCCAGGCTATAGTGAGGAAGAATCCAAGTAAAAGGCAAAAACATCATTTAAGTGTTTAGCTTGCACGCTCCAGGATAAAGGAATTCTCTTCAATCAGGCTCAAGGAAAACGAGTGCCTTGTGTTCTTTAACTAGGGGGGCTCTTGTTCGAACTGCATTATGCCCACTTCCTATTGGGGATCAAAAGTCTGCAACACCTAAGGCCCCGGATCCTCCGCCTCTAGTGTGGGTGGCTGCCCAGCTGGAGACAAGGGCCTAATAGTCCGTTTACTAAAGGACTCCTTAATGCTCTGTCTGAAAATCACCATTTGATGCCTCGGGACTGGCAGATTTTAACTAAAACGACTTTAGACGCCAGTCAGTGCTGTGGAGAGCAGGATATGATGAGATCTGTGAATGACAGGCTGAGGTCTAGGCTGCATCTGGCTGTAAGTCCCAGGCAACGTAAAACATCTGAAAGATCCATGAAAACAACTCTTTATTAAGTCTTGTCTATGTGTTATGCGCGCTTATAAATATCATTTATATGAGTGTCTGTTGATTGTTGTTTTATCTGTCTTTTTTGTTTGGTTTAATGTGTTTATTGTTAGTCTATGAAGCATGCCTTTAATTTATCTTCATAGAAAAGAAACAGTAGGTGGCCAGGCCATTGCTAAATGTCCCCAGAGCAAACAGAACGTGGGGGTGGGGAGAGAGAATATGAGGGGTACACGTGGCCGATAACACAGGTCCTAGGAACATTCTCTAGACAAAGGGAGGTAACAGAAAAAGGCCCCAGCCCAGTAATTACAGGTCTCTTGGTGATCCTGTAAAATGGACGTCCTCTCTTGGGAGCGGGCGCGGGGTCCCCTTCCGGGGCCGGGGCCAGCTGCGAGGCGTCCAGTGGGGACGAGGATGATGATGACTCGGAGGAGGACAAGGAGGGCGGCGGGGAGGGCGACTGGCCCAGCCGCGTCAGGTTCTACGACTCCGGGGTCTCCTGGTCCTCCTTCCACAGCTGACGGCGGCCTCCGGCTGCGGGACGGGCCCCAGTCACTTCTGCATCCGCGTGGACACCCTCCTCTCCTGAGGGTGCAGAGCCCCCGAAGCTGCCCGGTGCCCCCAGGACCCCATACTGGGCTGGTGGGCGGCGGTGGGAGAGGCGCGGGCCCTCCGGACCCCCAGACCCCTCCTCTGCACATGGGCATCTCTGTCCACTTCGGTTCTCTCTCCAGGTAGCAAACCCCACGCACAGGCCTCCTGGGCTGAAGGCCATTGCTCAGCCCAGAGAGCTGTGCTGCCTGAGGGACAGGCCCCGGCACCTCATGGGACAGCAAGTCCTGCTTCTCGGAGGCCGTGATCCACAGCACAGGACCCGCGACCAGGACGCCCCCAGGGACCATGTGGCTTCGGGAACCAGGCCTGCCCACCCCCCTGGGTGGTGCCCGCCTGCCCGTC